ATAACAGCAAATGTACAACGTTTCGACAAGATTTTGTCATCATCAGGATGACAAAACCTTGTCGAAACGTTGTACATTTGCTGTTATGTTAAACTTTACAGTGTTTGTCGTATTCCAGCCCGTGTGATAAGCCCTGGTATTGGGCAAAAGATTTCGTCGGCACTGAATATTCCAGATAAAGTGTGTTTGGCATATTGTTATATATATTCTTTTCTACTTTCATTCTGAGTTTAGTTACTGATTATAAGCATTAATTTATTACAAGTTACAGCTTCCACAGTAAGGAAGAATTTTTTAAAACAGTTACGACGTTTTGATCACTGTTGCGATCTTTCACTAGTACACTTGTGTACTTGAGAATGAACGCACCAGTGACTGAAACGTCATACCTGCTTTAAAAATTTTCTTCCTTACTGTAAAAGCTGTAACTTGTAATAAAAGAATACTTTTTACCTTTATTCACAACGTTTTTAGAATATATTATTTAACACTGTTATTACTTTTATAACAATTGGGTCTTTTCAACAATATCTACACGTGTCTCTAAGCGTTGTTCTTTAAAACTTATTATAATTACAACTGCATGTGTATTTTGTTCATTAAGCTTCATAATGACTTCTGAAGCAGCCCAATAACAGAATTTGGATTGTATATGTAAATATGGTGAGAACTCGTTTTAAGAACTATCGTCGTGATTAAGATATTTATCTCTCAAGGAAATGATCTCAACTACCAAAAAAAAAAAAAAAAGAACTTTTCCAAGGAAATAAATGTAATATTTTAATTTTGCATGTGCTTTTCATAATAAAAACTGCCAAAATTAAATGTTCACATCATTATAGATTTCCTCAAAGAATAAAAAATATTATTTGTAAGCTCATTATAAAATCTAAATGTGTAACTTAGGTTTAAAAAAAGAATCATTTATCGCAGTGTTCTCACCATATTTGGTTAGAATGAGTTATTACCAAGGTAACCCTTCCAACAATATTAACATACTCGTGTTATCACCTCTGTGTATTTACTATTTACTTTTCTCAATATTACATGAAGATATTCAGACTAAAGTAATGAAAACTTACCTCCTGCGATGAAAAGCCACAAAGAAAGCAATAAAAAAGTGAAACTCTTGTTTTAAACAGAATAACCCGTTTCATATAACAGACGAGTAACAAACTGACAATTCAACTTATACATTCAAA